GATTAGCGGTGTTATTTTAAACCACGCACAAACAAGAAGAAAAGCCMGAATTGTGCCAAAACCTGAATTATTCCCTTCAACTGGCTAATTAGCAGAAYGGCAGAGGTCATAAGCTGTTTTGTTTTTTAATTAATCTGACTCTGCAAGTCAAAACACGTTTTTTGTGTTTTGTTTTGTTTAAAAGTGGAGAAGCTTGGTGTATTTTTGCCATGTGTCTGCGGWGTGAAGCAAGAGTGACACCTGAGAAGAAGTCCTGTAACACGAGGTCAGCAAAAAAAAAATCCAGGCTCACACTGACTCAGCTGGCTCCTTTCTGCTGTCATTTTTCCTCTGCTTGACGCCACAGAAAAAGAGAAAAGAAAAGAAAAGAAAAGAAAAGAAAAGCTCACTAAAAATAGTGGTTTACAGGCCAGGAGCCAAATAGCTTCAGGGACTGTTTTTCCTCCAAGACAGTGGCATGGCACACAATAAGGTATTTTAAATTAAGCAACTCTACAGGATTTATTGTAATCATTGGGTACAAGAATTTCAGTAATGCAAGATGAAWAACCCACCTTGTGACAATATCAGTGCACAGGCATGTGATAAAACCAGAGGGCACAAAGAAACATTCAACCCGTTTGAAATGACACGTGTTTCACACGGCTCCTTYACGATACGGAGAAACTTTTCGGCACCAGCAGAGATAACATCCAATAAACAGCGTGAAATTGGATCTTGGCCCCAGAACAACAGATTTACGTGTGTTTGTGGTAATTTCCTCCAGGAAATTAGGGAGAAAGCAGATTCACGGGAAGGGGAGGCGGGAGTCTGACCTTGGAGCGAAAGCCCCTTTATCCGACTTCCACTAGTTCTCTTTGTGTATCTGGGAGCCTGTTCAAAGAGCTTCCTGGTTGAATGCGAATCTGTTTAAATAGATTTAAATTCCTCTTAGCCTTACACAGGAACACATCAGGGGTAAACTCAAAGGAGCTTAAGTGCAAAATGATGACAAACCTCCAGATGTTTTATGTAAATGCAGCCTTTTTAGTTCAAACCAATACTTTTGATGTCACAAAGGCAGGATACGTAAATGTGCGTGTGCAGAGCAAATCCTAACACTTTTAACAGCAGCCTACAGAGGAAATACATGTCACACCACAAGTTTTGGGGCCTGTAAAGTTTGAGACTGATGTAGAGTCAAAGATGATAAAATCAGAGGTCAGACCATGATAAAAGGGTTCATATTTTTATCTGTGACCAAACTGGAAGAGAAGAGAAGAGAAGAGAAGAGAAGAGAAGAGAAGAGAAGAGAAGAGAAGAGAAGAGAAGAGAAGAGAACATAGACATATTTTTGAGTCTATTTACTTTCAGCTATTTTTCTGCTCTGACCTGTAACTTCCTGTCTTCCTAACTCCCTTACCTTAGAGCTAAAAGAAAATCAGCTTCTTAATCTCTAYATATTTTTGCGTATTTACAGAGCCGGTATTTAATAAAATTGGACTGATCAAAGTAAGAATGAAAGTGCACCTGGACAGTAATTACAACATGGGGGTGGGTGGGTAGCTAAAATGAGTGCAGCTGCAGAACCTGCAGAAATGCAGAGAAACGTACAGAGTCTGCAAGACTTTGCTTTTATGATGTTATGATTTAGTCAAATACCTCTTCTGTAAGCGTTCACTTGTCTTCTATGTCATAGTTCGAACGATTTAAGTTTTTTTTAATGTGAGTTTGATAGTAAATRTGAGAGAGTTTCATAGTAAATGCGAGAGTTTGATAGTATGTGTAAGAGAGTTTGATAGTACATGTGAGAGCAAGTTTGAATTATGGCCTAAAGGGCCTCTCATAGTATATCGGCGTCACACACTCCTCTAGAAGATTGACCATTGAGGCTGCAAATGTAAAGTTTATCAGGGCTAGATTTCAGCATAGAATTGCATATAAATATTAGATTTATGGTTAGCCTATTAAAATACAATTCGTTACAGACGTGTGTACCTCATTGACAACATGTTTTTGTCCGAAATGATATGTACTGACAAGCATTTCCATCAAATTAAAATAGTGGTTGTCAATAGCAAACTGGGTTTCAATAATGTGCTGACTTAAATTTGATATGTCATGAGTACTATTTTCAGTTTTAACAGCTAGCAGTACTGTCTGTTGATTCGTCCTCATCTCTAACAGATCTCTCTCTTGAACCATTATAAGTCACATTGCTCCTCCAATCAATATACCTCATTTCTAATCACTTCTGTTCTGTTGTTTCCCCCTTCACTTCCTGTTTTATTTTGTAGAGCCAACACCTTGTCCTTAATTTCCTGTTTTCTCATCACACCTGCTCTTGTAGTAAGCACAGCTGCTCATTATCTCGCTCTATGCATAGGCCAGATATTGCCCCAGTTTTTATTTTCTGTGATCCTTGCTTTTTGTCACTCAGATACATTCCCTGCTTTTCTTTAGTTTTTTTAGAGAACAGACCAATGCTGCAAAAAAGGTTTCATTTTTGGCTGACTAGCTCTTAAGGGTCAGAGTTCTGCTGCAGAAAGATTTCTTCTGCAGTTTGTAAGCAAAAATAAATTAATTAATAAAAAAGGAAAATGGAATCTTGGCCAGTTTCAGCTTTGGGACGATATGTCACGCTGAGTATTAACCTTTGTGTGTGGTAGTGATTTTTGATGTTGTGGGGCTGCAAAAGCAAAATGTCCTGGGACAGCAGGCTGTTAATGCAGCTGTGTCTGGAGGTGAACACATAAGCCAAGAGCGGAAGCTTTTCTTTCAGCCCTGTGCATGCAACACTATGGATTAAGTCATATGTTTTTATTGTAAATGGTCCAGATGAGCTACGCTAAGATGCAGGATGAATGCTTAAATCCATACATACTCATGATGTGTGTAGTTTATTGTCACCTCTCTTTGTTCTATATAATTGCATTTCTCACAAACCAAATGTCAGAGAGGCATGGRTATGAATGGAAACAACAAAATGAGAAAACAATCTCATCATGTCCATAAGKGTAACCAAGTGTAAAATAAAATGTTAAAAATATCACTAACATGTTTTATTATCACTTTCTGCATGGAAAATTCTTGTTAAAAAATTCCACTAACATTTTTTCTTTGCTATTTTGCTCAATGTTCTTA